GTCCTTGAAGGTTTGTGTCCACCCTCCCTGCCCTGTCCTCCAGGCTGAGTKATCTCAGTTGACTCATAGATTCTTTAGCTCATCCCCAGATCCCGAGTCTGTTTTACTGGYTGGAGAAGGGACTYGTAATGAATGGCAGGCAGCAGGATCCAGGACAAGTGTGACAATGGGCTTTGCTTTAGCTCTGACTTCAGATACTTGCAGTGATCACCACTAAAYACCAGGCTCAGATTTCAGWGAGCCACTGAGATTCCATGTGTGTTCCAGCAAAACCCCAAAAAGCACTTTCTGAAGCCCCACTCTGTATCACTCTCTGCTCAGCTCTGCATCTTYTTGATTTTTAACAGACATTAATTATTATCCYACTTCACTGGGCTGCAGRACTCAGTGATTGATCTCCCCAGCACACCTTGGCTGCAGGAACAAACCCGTGTGAGGAGCATGAGCCCCAGAGGTTGTGCTGGGCCTTGGGGACAGTTGCCCACCTGGATGAGGTTGCCCACCCCGGGGGGCTGCAGGAACACCCTGGGGATCCATCCCTGGGGCTTTCCTGCCCTGGCACAGCATGGAAGGAGAGCCAGAGTCCCTGGTGATGGCACAGCCAGGGCACAGCCACAGCAGCCACGTGTCCTGCGTGGGTGACACTAATCTCACAGGGGTGCCAGCAGCCTTGCAGCGTGTCCCCCGTGGGAAGGGGCTCTGGGTGCAGCAGCCAGGCAGCTCCTGGTGCTTGGGGGTCCCTGTGCTTGACCCGTGACCACAGCGAGCTGGAGGGGAGGAGATCAAGGAAGGGGAGGAGGGAAATGAGAGGGGCAGAGTAGTGTGAGTGGGGCACCCAAGAGAGAAATGAGAGGGGCAGRGTRGTGTGAGTGGGRCACCCCAGAGGGAAATGAGAGGGGCAGGGTGGTGTGAGTGGGGCACCCCAGAGGAGCTGCTGGGGCAGGGTGTGTGATGGCCACAGTGCCAGAGGTCAGAGAGCCTCTTGTGAGCCCAGAGAGCCCTGGGGCCCCTGGTGCTGCCCAGGGAGCAGCTGAGCACGGGAGCTGCAGGAGGAGGGCACGGGCAGGGGTAGCCACATCCWTCCCACCCTTCTGCCACGCCTGGAATTTCTCTTCTGGGCTCCCCCCAGGTGAGGGTTTGGAATTTCCTCATCCTTTGCCTGTTGCCATCTGCAGCTCTGCTGCTGCCCTGTGTMCTGCAGGGCAGGTCCCCAGTGGAGCAGTGTGGCATGGTCAGAGCTTGCCCAGCACTGAGAGGAGCAGCAGCATTGCATCTGGTGTGTCAGTGCAGGGGGGTTCCAGCCCAGCAGCTGCTCTGTGCTGGCCAGCACCCCTAGGGAAGCTCAGTGCAAAGCCTGAAGGGGAACTTGCCCTSTCCGAGTCCTCTTCTCTCTTGATTTTCAGCAGAGCCCGAATGGCTGAGTATAAACTCAGTGCTCTGTCTCTGCCTGAAGTGAGGAGACAAGACTTTCCTTCATGCTCCTGTAATCTATGCGTCACATCCCAGCATCTCTCTGTTGTTTCCTGTGTCATGGGGTATTCGGATTGCCCTCTCCACATACCCTCTTCACTGTCTGTGTGGTTTTGGTGGTGATTAAAGTGCAAAGAAAAGCATGTGCCTGCGGGGATGGTTACACTGGCCCTAAAGGAGCCAGGGTGTGTTCCGCAGGAGGAGCAGTGAGCAGTGACCACCTCATGTCCTGTGAAATGACCCTGTCCCCTCCCAGTGCGGTTCCACAGCAGCCCAGAGGACATGGACATCACTGGGGCCAGGCTGGTGCTCCCCAGTTATCTGGTGCAAGGGACACCAGTTTACACCCTCATCTCTCTCGTACCCACAATATCCACAGCAACAGCATCTTATAAATCACTGCAGTTTCCCAGCAGCCCCAAATTCCTCCTGGTCTCTTGGGTTAAAATTTATCTTCTCAGTCTCAGGGTTTAAGGATACACGGAGATCTTGGAGGAGCTGGCTCAGCAGTGGGTTCTGACCCTCGGCAGCCTTGGATGGGGCACAGAGAAGTGCAGCAAAAGGAAGAGGGAGCCGAGATGTGGCTTTTGGTCACTCCCAGTGATGCCTTAGGATTTTTAACTTCTATATTTTTCATGTGTCTATTCTTGTATTTCTCTAGTGTGCAGCACTGAGCTCCCGTTCTCCCATCTTTAAACAAAACAACTCCTCTCTGGGCCTGAAACTCAAGGATAYCTCACTGCCTCAGAGCCCCAAAATCTGGAAACGACAGAGAATTGGGGGGAGCAAGCTTGGGGGAATTGACACCATCACCTGAAGGTGTCATTGGGGAATTGGGGCCCAGTGTGTTCATGAGACAGAACTGATAAAAGGGGAAGATTTTGTGACTTGGGGTCCATTTTGGGTGGAGCCTTTGAGGAGGCTTTGTCTGCCCTGAATGTACCTGTAGGCCTTTGTTAAATTTGTCTGTTTTTACTCTCTTAACTTTGTCTGGCCTCTGTTTCAGGTGAGCCTTGTTTAAGGCATCACCAGGACACGAGGTGCAGGGTAAGCCAGTCCCAGAGTCTCTCCAGGCTCTGCTCTCCACCCCTGAMCAAGGTCAGGCTCTGAGGGAATACACTTGCTCTCTCTGGTTCGTGGAGAGATGGAGCAGATCCTGCTGAGCTGTGGCAGAGTCACCATTCTCAACCAGGTCACTGCTGCAGTGCCTTGAGGGACATTAATAACAGCCTGAAGGAAACACACCGTGGCCTTTACCTGCCCTCTTCAGTACCTTGTGGCTTTCCTCAGGCTTTTCTCAGTAGAGAAAATGARTGAGAGTCCCCACCCTTCCAAGAGCCCTTCCAATGTGATCAAGCTCAGTGCTCCAAAGAACTGTCCTGGCAACATTTCTAGGCCTGTTCCAGCAGTTCCCAGGGACCAGTCCACCTCCACTGTGTCCCTCACTKCCCCCCTCACTCCCACAGTGGCAGAGGAATGGGTAAGGGGAATGACTGCTTTGCCTGCAGGGTGCAGGGGTCTGTCACTGCATCCCCCAAAGACCTCACTCTGGGAAAGTCCACAGAAACACTACAGAGACTAACCAGAGCATCTCCTGTAGTGAGAGTGSATGGCAGCACAACACAGACCTGCAGTAAGGCTGGGGAAAACTATCGGAGTCTGTGGAAAGTGAAATGCTCCCTGTGACATGGAGCTGGGGGTGTCTGAAAGCAGGAACTTTGTTAAATTAGAGGTGAATGGACTAGTCACTGTGAGCATCCACCTTCCTCCCCTGACCTTGTGGCTGAGCTGGTGCTCCTCATTCCCCCTTTTGGAAAGGCTGCGGGGTCAGTGCCAGAGAGTAACGTGATCAGTAAGGTTGGAAAAGCCCTCTAAGATCCTTGAATCCCATTAAATCATGGCCCTAAGCAGGCACATGGCTTGGTTTCAGGCAGAGCTGCAGCCAGAGRGCTATGACAGCCCATGTGCCACCCTGTGTCATTGGGCACAGCCTGGCTAAGAGCAGAGCAGCTCGTCCTGCAGCATGAGGACAGCCGCTCTGGCTCTCACCAGACAGCCTGGAGCAAGCTTCCCAACACTCCAGATCCTTCAAGGAAATGCCCTGATGGAAATGCTCTTGTGGAAATGCCCTGATCCTTCAACCCTCTCCTTCCTCTGGGGTCACCAGTTAGCATATCCCTGCTCGTGCTGTCACCAGCCTGTACCTGGCTGTCACTGAGCCGTGTCCCAGGCTGGGAGGGCAGAGCACACCCTCCTCTTCCCCCCGCAGCCGTGGGCTCCGGAAGGCAGGCAGCGCCCTGGTAACGCTGCATTAGTCCTTCCCCGGGCCTGACACAAACAGAATTGATCAAAAGCACCTTTAAAAGCTCCCGCGTCCCCGGAGTAGAAGGTTCCTCTTGTTGAAATTGGGTGGGAGAGCTGCGGTTTTTCCTCAGTTCCTTTGATTTGTTGCCTAATGCAGGGGATGGATAAATCTCTAAGCCCTGAGATTTAGGGCAGGATTCATACTTTACATCTTCAGAAGACGTAGTAAACAGCCTTATACTCTCTAATCCTGGGAGCAGGTTTGTACCTGCTCGCTCTGCATAAACTGGACCAGCTACAACAATTTCACACTGTGGCTGAGTTCAAAACATCCCCTTGGGGATGAAATGTTTATTGCAGAAGATTTTTAAGATGGTTCCTGAAAGGGAGAAAGGGACTCCCAGCCCAACACTCTGCACACACCCTGTGGGACTGTCCCATAAATAGGGGACTCCAGGAGCAGTGACACAGYGTGGCCTGCAGGAAGCTGTGACTGCAGGTGCCACAGCAGAGCCAGCTCAGCGTGGTTTCCAGTGCTCCCAGAGGAACTTTGTCACTTAGACCTTCCCCAGTGGGCAGCACAKGCGAGTGGCCTGCCTGCAATGACCTTTCTGAAGCAGGATTAGCAGACCCTGGGATGGCCCTGTGGCTGTGGTGCTCCTGGATCCAGCTGCCTCCATCGCCCCTGGGGGCAGCTGGGATCCCTGGGGTCAGGCTGTGCCAGGATTCCATCCTYCCCAGGTCACTCCAGAGCCTTGCAGAGGCCTCCTGGGCCGTGCAGAGGTTTGTGGTGAGGACAGGCTGAGCTGGGTAGAGCTCAGCCCTTTTCCCAGCAGAGGGAAGTACCTGGACCTTCGAGGTGCTCCARCCCAGCCCCAACATGGCAGAGGAGAAGATGGGGACCACTTTGGGGTCTGGACACCCCACCCAGGKGACACCACATTTGGATATGTGATGAGTTTTAAGCAAAATGTTAAATGGGCCAATTCTCCTGGGGCACATGGTCACATCGTGCCCTGGGGGGACTGCTCACGGCCTGTGGGGTGAGACACAGCTCCCCAGTCACCACAGGGCACATTTGCCAGCCTGGGTTTGACTCTGCCCCACACCTCCTCGCAGCTCTGCATCTCCTCGGGATGTTTGCAGGTCCCTGTTCATGGCCAGGGCTAGGGGCTGGGGGCAGGCAGGGTCAGGGATTGTTMTGTGGACAGGAGCGAGTTACTTACAGAATCTTCAGGCTGTAGAGGCCAGAGAAAGCTTCCCCGGGGATCCTGGAGATCTGGTTTCCAGAGAGGCGTCTGCAGTGAAAAGAAGAGCCAGTAATGTGTCAACATCCTTGTGATGACAGTTCCTTGTCTGCAGAGGCTTAGCAGCTTGTCGGTGCTGCCACTGTCCTGAGAGGAGGCTGCAGCACCTGCGAGCTGAGCYACAGCCCTGGGCTGGRGCAGCCTCTGTGCACCATCCCCTCACCCAGCCTGAGCAACAGKCACAGAAAATCACAGCTCCTGAAATCCTGAATCCAGCATTTCCAGCATCCAGAGACAGCTCATGGCTTGAAGCCATTCCTGGGTGCACACAGAGGAATTCCACTGCACAGGAATCACAGCCCAGGCAGTGACCTGCAGACCCTGCTCTGAGACGGTGGAGAAGGGAGAGCTATTTCTGCTCATGCAGGCCCTGGGAGGACTGACCCTAAATCCTGGCTGATGAGTGAGGATGAAGAGATGGGGGAGGAAGATCAAGTGCAGCATCACAATGGGAAATGGGACCTTTCTGGGACATGGAGCAAGGAGCAGGGGACAACATTCTGAATTTACTGAAAGAATTTATGAAAGGAAACCCACGGGATTTGTCATTGTACAACATCACCTGATCGTAGAACTCAGATTTTAACCAGGCCCAGAGCAGGCTGGCGAATGAAAAGGCATTTGCAATTTTCAGTGACATCAGAAACTGCATCACTGTTGTCATCAGGACTATGGTGAGGGCAGGTGATGGAGCCAGGAGTGAAGTCCAGGACTCCCGAGTCTAGGCTTGGCCTAGAGCAGAGGTGTATTTTCTCTTTCTCCTCTTGTTTTGCCCATGATGACAAACACGGACCAAGTCCCAGCACCCATCAGCCAGAAATCATAAAGACAGGTTCAACAACCTGATTAGGACCCTAAACTGCTACTAAATTTGGGCAAGAAACTTCTGTACTTGGCTTGGAGTGGAATATTACATCTCCAAAACAGAGACATTGGACATCCTTTGTCACCAGGCTCATCTTCACTCTCAGAGAAAGTCCAAACTAGGCCCAAGAGGTTGGACACAGGTATTCATTAAACTTTGATCCTAAATTGCTACTAAATTTGGGCAAAAAACTTCTGTACTTGGCTTGGAATGGAATATTGCATCTGCAAAATAGAGATAGTGGACATCCTTTGTCACCAGGCTCATCTTCACTCTCACACGAAGTCCAAACCAGGCCCAAGAAGTTGGGCACAGGTGTTCATTAATCTTTGTCCCGAAATTGCCACTAAATTTGGGAAAGAAACTGCTCTGCTTGGGTTGTAGTGGAATATTTTATCTGCAAAACAGAGATGGTGAACATCATTTGTTGATGGCCAGGCTCATYTTCACTCTCAGAGAAAGTTCAAACTAGGCCCAAGAGGTTGGACACAGGTATTCATTAAACTTTGACCCTAAATTTGGGCAAAAAACTTCTGTACTTGGCTTGGAGTGGAATATTGCATCTGCAAAACAGAGATAGTGGACATCCTTTGCGACCAGGCTCATCTTCACTCTCACACRAAGTCCAAACCAGTTCCGAGAGGCTGGGCACAGGTATTCATTAAAGTTTGACACAGCTCGTTTCTTTTGGGGCATTTTGTCAGGGAAGGAGGCCAATGTGCAGGCTGGGCCAGCCCATCCCGGCCTGGACATCACATTTGGGGAACACCACGTTTGGTGAGTTTTATGCAGAATGTGAAATCGGCAGCTTCACCTGGGGCTCTCACGGCCTGTGGGGTGGCACACAGCTCCCCAGTCACCACAGGGCGTGTGCCAGCCTGGGTTTGACTCTGACCCCGTCACTTCTCGCAGGTTTGCATCCCGGTGGGATGCAAAGTGGGTTTGGATCCCGGTGCAAAGTGGGAAGCAGAGTGCCTGAGAGCCGGGGCTGTGCCGAGGTCACGGAGGGGACCGAGCTGCTCGGGACAGCCACATTCACCCGTGGAGCCCAGGGCGTGTGTGGCTGCCCCARCGCTCCCTCTCCGGCTCTCCCCTCGGCAATCCGGAGAAAATTGCTCCGGTAATTAGGCCTCTGACAGCACAAACAGCGCAGGGTCGTCTCTTTAATGTGTGCGAGCAGGCTGTAACCTGCCCCTCGCAGCGTGAGCCGCCTGCCAGGCTGGGCGATTTGTCACTTGGGGGCTGCGATTTGGGGTAATTGCTCCTTTTGATTGCTGATTTCCACATGGGAGGAGGCAGCGCTGCCCGGGAGGCTGGAGAACTCGCCTGCAGGGGAGGTGCTCCCGCACGGCATCCCCAGCCTGCTTTGCATCCGTCCGTGCTCCTCCTGCTCCTGCATCCGTCCGTCCATCCCTCCTCAGCCTGCTTCTGCATCCGTCCA